CAAATTGCAGGTTTCGTGAGATGCAGTACCGGAAACAAGTTGTAGTGGTGGTGGTAACGCTGCGCAAAATTCTACCAACGGAGGAACTCACAGTTTCGTATGCTGGAAAGTTGTGGTTCACTTGCAGTTGCAAGAAGTGCAGCAAAGCACAGGCGTAGTTACCTGCAATTAACAAAAATCGCATGTTTGCATGGCTGAAACAAAGGCATTTCGTCTTTTTATTGTATCGCATCAGCAGTGCTACTCCTGCTCAATTGGACTTTACTACTTTACTCCAGCGAAAGTGCTGGCCCACATCTTGGTGGTCGCCCAGCTGAAGTAGATTGAACCGTCGTTCGTTGGCGCTTTCTTGCCACTGCCCGAGTCATCAAAATGTCGTGTCCCATCGAGTCAACTAGAGCTGAGCGCTGCATAGCAAAAAGCAAGTGCACACAGTAGGCAAATTTGACCCAATACTTGCAAGGGCAAGTTCGTTTAACCACGTCTACAGGCCACCCTATTGGAGGCTGCCCTCCAATTTCCATGCGAGCATAGTTAGCTCCAAGTTGAGCCGTTACTGCTAGATATTCTTCTGTGCGTCTTCTAGCGGGTACGAACACTCGCTTGGCAGGTTTGGCCTGTACAGCGACGATGCCTCCATCTCTGTAATGAAATTCCAAATTCTCCACCAGCAAATTGTCCCGAGAAAGTTCTCTCATTCGCGTGGCCAATACAGATGAATGCTCCGCTGTTGTACGAAATGTTTTGCCAGTAACAGATTCACTTGTCGCGCATTGAAACAATAGACGCAACAATGTTCCCATATTCAGTTTCACATGCAGCGAGTAATGCTGCTTCAGGTGTCTATTGAACTGCTCTACGGGATTGTTTGCGCTTTGATTGTGGTCCTCGCGCAACGTTTTTCCACTTTCCACAAGGTCGATGGCTTCGTCAGTACCAATATCCACTGCCAAAATGTGCCACGGTATTTTTTGTCCCATTCTTTTCTCCTGCTTTTTGGCCACCTCCACCTATCCACACGCACATGAGCCATACCATCTCCGTTAGCACTCCACAAAACTCATTCCCACTACTAATAGATGCGCACCTCTCTTCTCAAATCGAATAGCCTACGGATCCTTGCTGGCGAGCTGTACTTGGCGTGTTACAGCCCGGCAACCTCTACACACGTCCTTCACATACACATAAATTGTCAAGCCGACAGCGTTAGACCTCCTTCGGAGTTGCAACCACTTGCACAAGGTGCACACACCTCTTGCCAACGCGGGCAGCCTACGGATCCTTGCTGACGAGCTGTCCTTGCCGAGTTACTGCCCGGAGACCTCTACACACTTCCTGCACATAAACATAAATTGACAAACCAACAACGTTAGACCTCGTTCGGAGTTGCAACCACTTGCATCAGCCGGGCACCTTTGTTGGCGACGCGCGTTGCCTACGGAGACTCGCGTCCGAGGTGACCTTGCCTAGTACTTCGCGAAGGGGCGCGTGGCCGTTTGCTGGAGTTGCGAGAATGAGGGCGTTGGGGTGAGGGGTTAATTCTCCTCGACGCTGATTGGACAAAAAGAAAGCTAAAGAGTGTGTTGTTGTGATCTACCAAAGTCTCTGTGAGCTCATACGGTTTTGTGTGAGCTACCACAATCTTCTGTGAGCCTACCACACTTTTGTGCGAAATGACTTCACCGCTCTGTAGAGTTATTGATTTTCTGTGCTACAACCACAATATCATGTGATTCTACCTGCTTGTCCTTCAGATGGATTAAATACGTGTATTGTAGGCGAGAAAAAGTAATGTAGCTTCGCAATCAGGCGCATGCCATCGCAAAGCATAAACACTATTATTACTTTAAAAAACACTTAAAATAGTGGGTGCTTCTTGAAACCACAATTATGCCATCCGAAAAAAGTGATTCGTTAGATAAATGCGATGCACAAACGGTTGCAATACATGAACTGGAGCCACAATACTGCTGGAATCGCTACAGGTACTGTATTGCTGTGTTTAGTTAAAAATAATCCCTGGTTTAGCGTAAAGCACACGTTTAAGAAGCTCCTGGGCCACGAATAATTGATACATTCAAAAGCGTGTCATTTGAAGGATACAACGATTGTGCAGCCGCTAAAATATTCATTTGTCAAATATGTTGCTTTACTAAATTATAAATGCTCTTACGTAGGTATACAAGTACTGAACTTCTCGATTGTTCAGACGTGTTTAAGCTTTACTTCTATAGAAAAGTAGGAGTATAGGCACCTGGGTTAATCAAGCTTTTTGCTTCGTCGATACGACAGTGCATCTGGTCTATTAATTTCAAAATCGCGGTAAGCGTTTCTATTGAATCGAAGTGGAAAATGCGACTGAATATGAGCACGAAACAGATAAATTGTAGACGATAGTAGACACAACCTGAGCACGGAACAGGAAAGTGCAAACGGTATTAGACACATGATTTTCAGATTATTTGGAGGAAGTACTGCTCTTTGGAGGGATTTGCTGTCATCATTATCATGACGATAAATCCGTCACCATTGATCACAAAGCTACTTTTTTCTCACGATACTACTTTTCCGATAGCCTTTTACAGATTCTCGCGAACCAGAACGAGAATAAATCGTTAGATCAACGACAAAAGTCGTGGTGTCGCTCAAATACGCTCCCTAGTAGCAGCTACTGTGTTTGCGAGATGGACTCACGCCTGTGCTAAAACCAATGGACTATTGTACGCCAGTGTGTCTCGTTCTCCTCTCACTAAGCAATTTGCTCACACTTGCAACCACCCGCCGAGCCCCATGCGTCATTCTTACGTCTTTGTGATCATCGCGTCTACTTTTCTGGCTACCAGTGATGCTCTCGTGACTAACCAACGGCTCTTGAAGGCCCACCACTTCGACTCTGCGACCGACGCCGATTTTGAAGAAAGAGGAGCTCCTAAAGACAAATTGAAGGAACTGGCAAGACAGTTTGGACTCAATTGGAAAGATATGAAACATGATCCTCGCTACTTGTTCAGGATTTACCAGGATACCTAAAAAAACTACCAGGCTGCGCTCAACAAACTGAACGGGGAATACAAAAAAATTGGAGTTGAACGCCTTAAAGGCGCGGAGCATCGTGAGAGAGGTTAGCCCTGGACAAGCAACATGTGTTTCGTGAAAAGAATGGACCTCTCAATTGTCAATTAAAACAGCAATACAGTGTGTCTATCCCTTTATCCTCGTTATTTAACCAGAACATTGTTCAACCACTAAGTCCACTTGAGTTAAGAGGGTTAGCTTAACACTGTCTGGATATAATTTCCCTTGACTTTGAATCTAAGCTTGGTAAGCAGCCAGTCCAGTTCGTGTTGAAAGATACACTTGAAGTTCTCGTCTCACTCTTTTGCTTTTTCAACTGCACTTTTATTCTCGCTCTTTTTCAACCAATCACAAGCCCGCCACCCATCCCCAAAAATTTAACTTGGTCTCAGTATCCAAACAAGCCAGGCTTCGCCTTCTTACAAAAACGAGAAGACTGCGGTAGAGAAGCCCCAGTCGTCGCCCTCCCCAAAGAGCGATCTACTGACTGCTACAGGCAGTCCCCAGCCCCGCGAGTACTTTCATCGTATCCACCGTCAAGCGTAGCGTCTGGCAAGTGCTTCAACCAGAAGAAAACCAAAGCACAACCGTTGTAAAGACAGGGCCTAAAACATGTCCGCTCCTACCTCTGAGAACGCCGTGCCCGACGTCGTATCGCCCTCCAGAGGTGAGTCTGCAGACGCACGCGACGTCTTGCGCAATTACGAGCGCTCGCTGACTGCAGCGGTGCTGTCCCCGCTCTCTGCAGCTGCGCGTAGCCCGAGAAACGTCGCACATAGTGTCGCCATGCGATCCATCAACTCAGGGGAAGCCAGAGGCGCCTCAGCGCGTCACATGTCTCCTCGAGCAGTTCACCACTCCTCAGATGCCTTCGCTGACGCGCCGCCTGTGGTCTTAGCCACGTTCTCGCCGCGTAGACGCGCTCTGAGCGAGCAGAAAGAGACACTGGAAGCAGCTAATATCCGTGTGGATTTAGCCGAAGAAGAAGGCAAAGCAGAGGAAGAGGGTGGAGACGGAGAAGTCGACACTCTGCGCCCACACGACAGGATATCGGACGAGGCCTTCGCGTCCTCTGGAAGGGGACAAATCAAGGTACACACAGAGAAACTTCCGTCTACTAAGGAGCATGGAAGACAAGGGCGCAGAGGCCGACGACGACAGCGAAGGCGGTTTTATCTGCATGGACGAGTTCTCAGCTAGACGTAAAGCTTATCCCTTGCCATGTACCGGTCAATGTACCGGTGCATTCGTCCATTACCGCTGCATAATGGCCTGGCTAGGACAGTCCGGTAGTTGTCCGCTATGTCGCGGTACGTGCGACCCGTTGGTGCTACAGCCAATGCAGAAACTGGAGCTACAAGATATGACCAAGATGGCCTTACAGCCAGTGCCTCTGGACGCTGGCATCATCCGTTGCTATGTGAAGCAAGTGTATCGCGGGATGTTCAAGCAGTACGGCTATGAGCTGTATCTGCAAGGCCAGATTGGCACGCAAGAGGAAGATAAATTCCTATTGGCTGCAAGACGCCAAGTGCGCTCCAACATGACAGCCAACTACACAATTTGTACGGACAAAGAATGTACGGACGCCAAACGGATTGGACGCATGGGCTCCAACTTTTTGGGTACATGTTTCACATTGTATGACAACGGACGAGACCCGCAGAAATTGGCCAAGATACAAGATGCAGTGAGCTCAGATGATTTGGTCGTACAGAATGTGCTACAGATTCGGGAGGAGCTGGGCTGTGTCACGTACGAGCCGAACCGCACCAGTGTGGGCCCACGGAAGATGCGTGTCGTGATCCCTGACGTTGATGAAGAAGGCGGTTCCTCAAAGATCGTGCGACCGATGAGTCGTCAAGACCGACTCGTGACTCGTCTCTCCACGGGTGAAATGAAGGATCTGATGCGCTTCTCGAACCGCGAGCCGGTCTTCCGTGAGGACCTGGGGGCCTACTGCCTGGACTTTGGCGGTCGTGTGTCCATGGCGTCCGTCAAGAACTTCCAGTTGATCAGCAGTGAAGACCCGTCCATGGGCAACATTCTGCAGTTTGGTCGTGTGGCGGACGACATGTTCACGATGGATTTCCAGTGGCCTTTGTCTCCGTTTCAAGCCTTCTCCATTTGCCTCAGCAGCTGTGATACCAAGCTGGCTTGTGTCTAAACTTTGTGGACTCATATATCCACAAAGTTTGCGCAGGGGAGTCCCTGAGTTGTTTCGTCAGGGACAGCTCAAGAGCACAGGGTGAAACATGATCTGGTCGTTGAATAACTGTTATATCTAATAAAACTCTCCGTTAGAATTTGCATTTAAAGAGAAAACTGATTGAAGAACAATTTGCTCTACAACTGAGTGTAACTGCTCTTTAATTGAAGATAACGATGACGGTGCTGCTGCCCTCGTTCATCGCGGATGGCAACTGGTTCCTGCTGGCTCTGGCCGTACCTGTGGCTGCTCTTGGGGCATTGGTGCATCCTCGTTGGCGTGTACACCTCGGCGATGTCTCTCGACGCAGCACCAAGCGTTTATATCTGCTATGGGGGCTGCTATTACTCAGCGCAATACTCGGAGTTTTGGGCATCTCTCTCGAGGTTTATCACTCGCATGGATGTCCCAATAGTGCTGTATTCCGCTACGAGATCGAGAATTTGGCTCGCTTCGTGTATCAGCTATGCACACGCGCTGACCTACCGTATTGGGCGGCTTTCGGCAACTTACTCTTCGTCATGCGCGGCCAGCGTCGTATCCCTGTAGGAGACACAGACTCGGACATTGGCGTGGTCAAAACGGACTTCATACAGCAGTTCGGTAGCGTTAGTAACTTCTCGGACGTTGTACGACGAGAAGCTCATCTCGAGCTCCAGAGACCTGTGCATGTGGTGTATCACACGGAACGGGAATTGGTGCAGATTTACTTGGACGAAGCGGCGAAGGGTTCCCACGCAGATATCTGGTTCTATCGAGAGGAGGTGGATACAGAGACCGGCACTAAGTGGCTAGTCAATGACGACCGTACTATTCGAGGAAAGTGGTTGCTATACGACCAAGTGCTACCGCTACATGAGGAGCCAGCGTTCTTCCTCAATGTACCTGTGACTGTCCCACGTAATGCCAGTTATCTGGCTAGGGCGGAGTATGGAGCAAACTACATGACACCGATCACTATGAGGATGGAATGTTTAGAGAATATGATCAATGGGTACACGTTCTACAAGACAACGTTCCTTACAAAACTCCGTTATGGCAGTACATTTGTGGCGTTAGTTGCAGCGATGACTCTGCTGGCTGCGAACTACATCCCGCTGTTGAGTAGAGCGCTAAAGTTAAAAAAGGGAGGCCACGGCGCGTACCTTGAGGCTGCCCAACGGGGATCTGACAAGTATTTCGTCTAAGCCTTAACATCGAGGACCTGATGGCTACATGTTTTCTGTTCTCTAGTACTTGTTCTTGCATTTGCCTTTGCCTTTAGTTTGACGAATGTTGGTGGTCTGTGTAGACATAGAGACCATAAGAGGGGGGATCTTCGGGGGTCCTTGTAAAAGCAGCTTTTGGATGTCTTGCCACTCCATGGCCTCGAACTCTTCGTTGTGAATGAGGCTGCCGGCTTCTAAGCGGTCGAGATACATGACGCCGTTAAGATGGTCGAGTTCGTGTTGGAAGATACGCGCAGGGAAGTCTGTGAGTGTTTCCTGAATTTTGCGGCCTTCTGCGTCTTGATATTGCACTCGAATCTCCTCGGCACGCTCGATAATGCCCTGGTAGCCAGGCACACTCAAACAACCTTCAAAGTCGCGCTTGCTGGACTTGGACATGGCCACAATCTTTGGATTAAGCACCTCCTGATATTCCAACTTGCTTAGGTCATCCTCGTTCTCCGGCATGTCCTTGATCATCAGGAACATACGCAGGTTGTGGGCGAGTTGCGGAGCTGCGATGCCCACTCCAGCCTCCAGGCGCTGCAAGTCAGTGTTAGCACAAATATGAGTGTAGATAGATAGATGGTACGTACCACTTCCTTGTCCAAATCCTCTAACAGTCTTCGGACTGCCGGCGCGCGCACATCGGCTACCGACTTTGACACTCGGCGTAAAGCTGGATATCAGCATGAACATCATACTTTGTCAGTCCACAGGTATAATCAGACGATGGAAGTCGAGCAGTAGATAGGCCGAGCAAGCGCACTAAAGATAATATTGCAATCCTCCGCTGATGACGCCTTGAAGCTGCAATATATGCGTACCGGAGTTCCCGAGGAATACGAGCGTCATCTTCGTTTTTTAATCTCTAACCATCAATTAATTTCTAAGTACGAATTATGTGTGCTGTTATGATAGCTCCCGGGATCATGCTCACGCATAAAATCATGGTGCTATCATTATCGTATCCTTCATGTGCCCATTCAAGCAGGAACACAATAGCAAAGATGAATGGGACTCAAGATGCACCGGCGGGCGCTCCTCTGGCCGCGCACTTTGAGGCCAAGCGGCGTATCATGGATACTGTAAAGCAGATGGAGGCGCGTGGAGAGAAGTTGGAGGAGGCTACACCCGAAGAGATCCTCGAAGCGGCTAGCAAGGCGGCGGAAACCGTGTTCAAATTTGACTTCAGCATCTCTGCCGAAGACGCCGAGACGAGCGACAAAAAGCGCAATCGGAATCACAAGCGCAATAAGAAGCGGCGATCCAAGAGGGCGCAGAGCGAAGCAGCAGTAGATAATGCTGACGCCGTAGCCAAATCGGTCGTTCCAGTGACACCATCACCACAAGACGGTAATGCGAAGGACTCCAATCGATCGGCATCCAAGCAGAAGGTGGCCAAAGGCACGACAGCTAAACCTACGGGCTCTTCGTTTCTGAAACTTCGCAAAGCAACAGGCACCGAGTCTGAAGTCGCCAAGATGCACCTTCGATACGGCCAGGGGCGGCGGAACTTGGCTGCGATCAAGCACCGTGAGATGCGCAAGAAGGAAGGCCAGGAACCCGTGAACACAGACTTTAAGTTTAACTTTGCCGCCACGTCATAGAAAGCAAAAGAATGATTCAGCGAAAGCAAATAGAAGCCTTCTAGAGTAGAATAGAGCGCTTGGCGTTCACCACTTCAAAGCTGACGAAACGAGACAAACCCAGCGAGAATCCGAACGATATGGCACTTCCACTTAGACAGTGTCTACGCTATTAAGACACAGATATCATACAATAATTGGGCGGGCGTCATAAGGCCGCACACCTTTCTCCAAAGCTCAAGAGCAACCAAATGACCACCTTGCAGACCGCCCATCTCTACTCCATACAAACATAAAGTTTACGCAACGTGTCGCCTCACTCAGAGAGAGCGCCGCGCAGATACCGTCGCGTTCAGTCTTTCATTCACCGCTAAGGATTGAGAATCGCGTTGACCTAGAGCGTAAAATCCTCGGCCAAGCAGAACCAAGAAATACTCCAGGTGGTGTGACGCACGGTATTATAGCGAACAGCCAGACCACGGACGTCTGAGCCGGCTATAATTAGCATCTTCAGGTGGGCATCTCGACGTCACTGTGGTATTTTTACCCAACGGAGCGCATTGCCTCGTCCTGCCGCTTAATTAAACGTTATTATCGTCTATCACTCCTGTGCATTTCGGAGTTTTCATTCCTCCATCGCTCCTCCAAGGAAAATAACAAAACAATGGGGTGCCGACAATCCAAAGCTGATGCGGTCGTGGACCCCACCGCTGGGTCGACCCAGCGACAAGCTCGTGGCAGTCTACGAGACGACCTGACGTCCGACCTCATCCAGCACAAGTACGTGGACGACATCAACGAATTCTTCCACTTCAACGCCATCATCGGCACGGGCCACTTTGGCTGCGTCAAACACGCCGTGAGCAAGAAGTCTGGCAAGGAATGGGCCGTCAAGGTCGTCGCTCTGAGTAACGAAGTGGACCGAGACGCTTTACGCAACGAGATCAACATCCTCAAGCGACTGCATCACCCTCAGATCGTGCGTGTCATCGCCTCGTACGAAGACAAGGAGCACATGTATATGATCATGCAGCATTGTAAAGGGAAAGAACTGTACGATCATCTGTACCAGGAACACCGCACCTTCTCCGAGAACGACGTCCGGAAGATCATCCGTGCTCTGTTGCGAGCTCTGGCGTTCTTGCACTCGAACTTCATCACTCACCGCGACTTAAAGCTGGAGAATTTGCTCTTAGAGAACGCCGAGAACCCGGGATCTCTTCGTCTGTGTGACTTTGGGCTCAGCACACGCTTCAAACGAGGCGAGAAGCTGGAAAAGTCGCTGGGAACGATCGACTACGTCGCGCCCGAGGTTCTAGACGGCGACTACAACGAGAAGTGCGATCTCTGGAGCGTTGGCGTCATCTGCTTCGAGCTGCTCACTGGCGTGTCTCCCTTCCACGCCGCGACGATCGATGAGACCATGGGCAATATCTACGACGGAGTGTTGGTCTTTGAGAACGATGTGTGGTCCACATTCTCTCCGGCTTCCATCCTCTTCATCAAGGCGCTAGTGAAGGACAACGTGGACCAGCGACTGTCAGCAGAGCAGGCGCTGGACCACAAATGGCTCAGCGAAGGAGAGATGGCCAGTGTCGATGGCTCGGGCGCTGCACGGCTACAGAGCGACAAGTGTGTGTTGCTAACCAACATGCTGAGCTTCAGTCAGTGTCGCAAACTGAAGCAAGCGGCGTTGCTGTCGGTGGCTCTGGGGATCTCGGAGGATCATCTTCAGCAAGAAATGGCCGCCGAGGTTTTCCATTCCATGGACAGCAACAAGAAAGGGTCCTTGTCTCGAGACGAGTTCTGTAGCGCTCTAGTGGAGTGTGGCGTGTCAACTGCCGACGCCGCGGAGCTCTTCACACGCATCAATCAGTCGAAAAGCGGCCACATCAACTACCTGGAGTTTATGGCTGCTGTCATGGACCAGCGAGACATTGGACAGAGCACAATTAAGGAGGCGTTCGGCATTCTAGACGGCGAGAAACAGGGCCGTCTGTCGCTTGTTGGACTGCAGGATTTGTTCAAGAACTCGATGGTAGCGGAGGAGGTCAAGGAGATGATTGCGTCTGTTGACACCAAGGGCGATGGGTATGTGGACTTTGAGGCTTTCCAGGGGCTCTTCACTGCCTCTGGGTCTACGCTGCCTCAAGTGGCTGAGGAGGACTCGTCCACTACTGCTGGTATCGGGAACGGAGATGTGGAGAGTCCTGACAAGCCAGTGGCGACGTCTCAGAGCTTCTGCACTAGGAACACGGAGAGTACCGTGGACAGTGTCACTGATCGAACGACGCCTTCCTCGACTTCGGGCTCGTTGGGTTACGCATCAGGGAAGCCAGAGGAGAGCGAAGCGATCAAGACAGAGCTAGTGCACCAAAGCGACGTCACAGTCGCGGTGGTAAACGGATAAGGAGTAGTCGCTGTGGGATATTTTATTTTGAAAATAATGAGGAAAAGAGTTCTCCGTTCTAAAATTGGTAGTTTAGAATCTAAACTACCAATTTTTAAATGATCGATGTTAAAGTCACACTATGCACTCCTCCGTCCGAAAATATAAGCAGGATGGGCAGGCGAAATTAATTATAAGAACAGAAAACCCTTAAGCGAGCAGCTGAATGGTCTTAATTGCTGATTAGATTACGGCAATAGTTTTGGTTGAGATTTGAAGCAAATCGGCCACAGTTCGTTAGAGCATCTCCAGCGGCAAGTCTCAACTCCGGTTTTAACGCAAAAGAAACGTGATTGAGAGTCTCAATCACGTTTCTGTTAAGACTTGCTGCTGGAAGCTAATAAAACTTGGTCAGGTCTCAATTTGAGACCTGACCAGGTTTTATTAGCTTCCGCGCGAGTCTAACGTTTTTCGGAAGTCTAAAGTAGCGATTCGAGTCTTAAGATAAAACTCCAGTTTTAATAGATTATGTGGCCCACTCACTTCAACATACGCGGGAAGATTCCAACAAAACCATGGGGAAGGGGCCTGAATGGGGCGACGACGACACTATCCAGTTGGGCAAGGCATGGCTCCCAAGACCCTATACGCGGTGCCGGTCAGAAGAAGGCTACGTTCTACATGAGGATGTATCAACTTTGGCTTCAGATTAAAAGCAAAGAATCGGATGATCGATCTGAACTCGCTGTTGCTGGCAGGTGGAAGAAACTGCAACCCGCAGTGACAAAGTTTGAAGGCATTTATTCAAAGCTGAAGAGTAGAGAACGCTCTGGATGGAATGAGGAAAAGTACATAACATCGGCAGTGGAGATTTACGCTGAGCGTCACAAGCAACAATTTGAGTTTTTAGCGGCATGGAAGGAGCTCCGTGACAAGCCAAAGTGGACTGCTCAGCTCACAACGACCGCGGGTTTAAAACGACGTGGCACCGATGCATCCGTTGTGTGTCGGCCACAGGGCCAGAAGGCTGCAAAGCGATCAAAAGGTGTGCTAGCAGACGACATTCAGCAACGGTTTGTTGCTGCTATAGAGAAGAAGGCGTTGCTGATGGAGCAACAACTACACTGCAAAGTTCGTGGTGAAGATGTGAAATTTGAAATACTTTCGCCGGGATGTCAATTTTCCAGCAAATGTTATAGAAACCTGTAGAGATGTAGCGCATATTGAACGGTGCCACGTAGAGTGTCTAAATATCTCTACGGTCTAGTTTGCAGCGGCCGACAAAAACAACAGCATTTAAATGGGCGTACTTAAGTGGGATACGACAGTACTATCAAATGACTTAAGCTTCCTGTAGCGCAAGGTCCGAAGCGTGGTCTAAGAAACAAAACGGGTCATTTTGGGACCTTTTGTTTCTGAATGACTGATTTTTGTATGGTAAACAAACTCATGTAGTTTGTGAAAGGTTTAATACTAGTACCAATCGCGCAGCTAAACCGGGGCGCGGGGCGCGGGGGCTGGGGGGGGGGGGGGGCGGGGCTTACCGCCAATGTAATAAAATATGTTTCTTCCTCTGTCCGAAAATATAAGCTGGGCATCTGTTTAAACCGTGTCCGAAAATAAAAGCGGTATGCTTACAAACTCAAGTTTCGAGAGCTTACAAACTTTCAGTGAATAGTAGCTCACAGGTCCCCTTTGTCTGAGGGAGCGAAGTGACCAATTAAAGGTAGTTTGTAAACTGAATGTATTTATAGGTATGTCATAATCCAATAGTTGGCCTCTGACGACTCTGGTACCATGTACCAGATATACCGAAGTGTGACGTATCACACTTCATGTAACCAGGGGTACACTTGAGGTTACGTACCCCGTTATATCCTCTTCCACTTAGGTTCGGTTTACCGACCAATCAGAATGAGGATATGTACGTCACAAACTCTCATTCTCAAAGTCGATATATATCGACTTGGCTGCGCGAACGCGGCGGAGACTCACTTTACAGCTAGACCCTCGAGCAGCACTTGAGCGCTCTTCTCCTCGGTCTCCATTTTGACCTTTAGCATGCCCCGTGTTACTGGGAAGAGCGGTGCGCCGGAGAGGCGCAAGCCAGAAGCACTAAGCCTCGCAGCAAAGGATCTGCACTCCAGGAGGCTTCTAAGGTGGCGCCGGAGGCGACCGGCTCATCTAATGACGCGGCTGCGAGCAAGCGTGCAAGCAAGCGCCGCAGTCCGTTACCTTCGGTCTCTCCAGACAACCGTCCGAACCCGCGGTTCGCTGAACGTGAGCTCAATTTGGGCAGTGAGGACGAGACCGAGTTCGGGAGCACTCACGATGCTCGTGTGGTCTCCGTGGTGGGGCACACGAGCCTCATCATCCCGATACGCCATGCGTATCCGATCATATAGATCCGTTGTCACCCGTGTGATGTGGGCCAACTCGTAGTCTGGACGCCGAGAGAGGGCGTCCGCAAGCATGTTGAGCTTGCCCGGCTTAAACTCAACGCAGCAGTTATACTCCACGAAGAACGACAGCTACCTCGTCGTCCGTTGGGAGAGGTGAGGCAAATTAGTCGCCGTCCTCAGGGATGCGTGGTCTGTGTAGATCACAAAGAGCCTGCAGCCCGGTAGATCAACCCGAAACGTTACAATGGCATACGCTATTGCCAGGAGATCCTTGTCGTGAACAGGGTAGCTCCGCTCGGCTGCCTTGAGCTGCCTGGACTATAACGAGATGACCCGTTCATGTCCAGCCGTGTCGACCTGCAGCAGTGCACACCCGATGGCATAATCGGAGGCATCACAGACGATGTAATGGGCCCCTCCATTTCATAAGTAGGTAGATCTCTTTACATAAGTAGGTGCATCAGCACACGACTAGCGTGTGCTGAAATGCTGTCATGCCATTGGCTGATATATGGGGAGCCAGACCCATTATTAGCCAATTAGACTATGACGTGTATTTGAGTGGCCAGGGCTGTGGCCTTGGTCCTAAAATAAAGTCAGAGTTGTTTTTTCCTTAAACCTAAGACTCAGTCGTCCTATTGCGAGCTTCCTCAACACTATAGTGTAAGCAAGTAACGGAGTAAATACCTGGCCCGTTACACCTGGTAGCACTTTGTAGTCCTTCCAACGACCAAGTTCAACATGAGCCAAGACCTCGACCACGCTGCCTTTCTCCATCTCACTCGGATCGAGTGGGAAGCTCTTCACCGCCTTGCGGCGGTGTCCGGAGAAGCCGTCGTCACGTCGCTGCTGCGCTCAGCGACGCCCGACGAGCAGCGCGTTGCGGCACAAGAATTTATGGAACGCGAGCTCGCCGATGCGAATCGGCGAGTGTCAACTCCCTCGCGTATCTCCACGAATGACGTCGTGAAGCTAGAGACGTCCACCTACTCCGGTGCCGGAGAAGATCGACTTCCGCTGAATCGCTGCTTTCGAGAGATCGACATCGCCATCGCTTCGAGGTTGATCGAGGCGCCTTCCGCGAAGGTCCATTTCCTCCTCTAGCGGCTGTCTGGGAAAGCCAAGGAATGGGCTCTCGGCAAGTTGGTTGTCGATCCCAACGTCTTCCCCACTCTGGATACCCTCCAGAGTGACCTTCGGCTCGCGTTCGAGCCGCCGCAAGATGAATCCCGAATTCGAACAGACTTCTTCGCCCTTCGGCAAGGCACGATGACTATGCGCGACTACGTCCAGAAGACACGACACCTCGCGTCGTGCATCGTGTCTAAGCCGATCGATATGGCCTCTCAGGGTCATGTATTCGTGTTCGGTATGCGCGAAGGCATGACGCGCTACTGCCTTACAAGATCGGACCCCTCTACGCTCGGAGAGGCATTCGCCCTCGCCCTACGCGAGGACTACGTGGTTGCGGCGTCATACGCTCACGCGCTACCTGCTTCTGCTCGGGATTCTGCGCCCGAGCCCATGGACATCGACGCTATCGATGCGACGAGCAATCGTCAGCGCTATGCAGCGCGTCGGAGCGGTGCTCGGAACAATCGTTCTCTCACCTGCTTCCGCTGTCGGAAGGTCGGTCATCGCGCGGCGGAGTGCCGCGCGCCAGCTCCAGTACTTGCGCATGTCGATGCCGAGCCCGTGAGTTCTGACCAGCCAAAAAACGGTCAGGGTCAGTAGGTGCGGGGCGCCCTACTGGCTGGAATGGAGGTCCGGGGCCCCCGGTGGCAACCCGACCTCCTAGCCCTCCTGTGCTGCATGCACACTTTCATGCCACCACCACGCCGAGCGATTCAAGATTGATCATTGTCAGTCTTCATGTCGCCGGTGCCCGGCGACCACTGCGAGCGCCCCTTGATTCAGGAGCGACCAACAACTTCTTCCGCGCGTCGTGTTTGTCGGTACTCTCGTCGGACATCACTGTCCGCAAAGGTAGAGGGGAGGTCGCTGTCAAGTTGGCCGACGGGAAATCACGCCGCGTCGCGCGGCGCGAGATTTCATGTTCGACGGTTTCTGAAGCAACAACGACTTCCTCGTCATTGAGATGAATTACGCGTTTGGCTGCATCCTGGGTATGCCGTGGCTGACGCGCTATCAGCCAGAGATTGACTGGTTGGCCCGGTCGGTCAAGCGCCGCAGTGATTATGATGTGAGCGAGGTGTTCACGCACTTCCTGGTCGCCCAGAAGGATTGGCCTCACGTCACCGTCGTGGACCGGTCATCCACGACGCACGTTGTGCACAGAGTGAGCGATGGCCCTCTCTGCACGGCTTGCGCAGTGCTGTTAACTAACGAGTCCCCGCGGTGACGCGGGGGTGAAAACCAACTGGCGGTCGAGCAGGGGCTGAATGAGTTGGCGGTCGAGCAGGGGCTCCCGCAGACGAACGAGATGGCGGTCGAGCAGGGGCTCCCGTCAATTGAGCCGGTGGTCGAGCAGCTGACGCTGAAACACTACCGGCGGTCGAGCAGGGGCTCCCGCTAGCCGGGGGTGACATCCTCGTCCCGCCGAGAACGACTCATCATCCTCGAAGTTTCGCACTCCAAGGTGGGCAAAGAGGAAGTCGA